AACTTGAAAACTCGGGATCTTGAACTTTTAAGTGCAAGTCCGTGACTTCAAGTTGGAGAACAATATTTAAACTGACTTCAAACTTTTATTATGGATGATCTTTTGGCTTACATCTTTGTATTTTAACGATGTCCTGTAATTTTATACTTAATGCTAATTTTTTTTATTGAATGGGAAATGGATGATCTTCCTGGTTTATGGATAGTTTTTACATTGCTCAATTTGGTTCAACAGTATTACTTACAACAGATGTTTTCTTAAGACTATTGGGAATTAAATTAATTGGTTTGTCCATAAAAATATACTCTTAAAATATTTATGAAACACACGAAGAAAACAACTACTACTCTTCAACACCTACCAGACCAGTAATAAATACGAAAAAGAAAATATTACTTGAGTAAAATCAATAACATTTAAAAAAGTATCTTATTAATACCTACAAAAGGTTAGTTTTAAATACTTGTTGATAATACATTGAACTTGACTAGTTGCCAACCTCCCTGTATCGCCACAAACCCTTTGTTCCTTCGATTTCCTTCCAAGTCAATATTGGCTTTGTTTTCACAGGATTGATTGTACTTACATGTCACAGATCACAGTGTCTCGTCTTTATTCCGTAAGCCACAAAGGTTGTTTTCCTACAACTGTTTATGAAAATATACAGGAAATTCAAGGGACTGCTATCAAAGCTGTGTTCTACCTTATTCAAAGGGTCACTGGGGTCATTTCGGTTGGCCTATTTTAGAGGTAAACTCTACCCACTTGTCTTTTAGTGTCGCTTCTATTAATATGTTGGCCGTGATGGTATGTGTAGACTGCAAGCTGTAAGACTGGCTTATAAATAAAGTAATACTATGTCTATGTATTTCATGTGCCGTGTTCAAGAGGTTAATTAGTATAGTGTTTTTAATCCTTCTGCGGATTAGGCAAGTTTTTTGCAAAATAGTTTTTTCTTGTCATTCAACAGAAATGTAAAAGTGAATATTTTAAAAATTTCGTTTTATTTTCGAGGATAGGCGATAAGGAACAACACAATGTTAGCAAAAATATTCATATTTTCTTTTCTTTACCTAATAAAAGTGTCTCGGTGGATAAGAAGCATTTTTTCACAGTTTATGATCTGTAAGATATGCCACGGAACTGCCGCATAAATGGCAACATATAAAACAACCTGTAGATGGTTACTCAGTTGGGTATTATCACTTCGGGAGGCTTCGGCGAACTTCGGGTGACATACGTACGTTGTCGGGATTGGTCCGTTATTTTTAAAAAGAAACAGAACATCTTGTATCCTTGTATCTATTTGACTTTTTCATAAACTTGATAATAGGGTAGTTTCTTAAATTTTATTTTGATGTCCGTGTGGTACATTAATTTAAAACTTTAGACACGTGTTTCTTCTTTTCTCACAAAACTAAATACTTTCGACGATATATTAATTTGAAATATCGTGTGACGTCACAGCGTGTCACATTTTGTAGTATGTTAGGACGTAACGACCTTCCACTCTAAAACTTAGCCCCATTTTATATAAATACGTGAAAATAAAAAAATACGTGTCTAATATTTTTTCACTATTAAACTGATGGACTAATTAGATTTTTAATGTTGATATCCTGGATAATACCCAATTGCTGAATAGAAACAAAATTTTAACATCTTTTTCTTACAAAAACCACGCTTAAATTAATACCGAAACTTACTAAAAACTTCATAGAATTACATGTAATATTAATTAGAAAACTTTCCAACAGCTAAATTACGAGTATTTTGCATTTGACAAATGAGGTGAAGGTTCGTCAGCATTTTTAATCCCTTGTGACATTAGAAGACAAAGTTTATGAAATATAATTATTATTTAGAATATGACAATAGCAACTAAATTTAGAAATGTTATTATAAGTTTGCTGGAATAATTTTAAGTAAATATCTTTTTACATTAGTGAGACATCCAATTTCTAAGTATGTTTGGGGATATTTCGGTTTCTCATTTACAATATGGAGATTGAAATTGTCTGATATTTGACATTAGGCTTACATCCATAAATGTGACTTATTATGTAACTGGTGATAAATACCCCCTATATGGAAATCAAAAGACGCGACATATAATTCCAATTTTAGGACTACAAAGAGGTACTATTACTAACAACCCCAAATACCTAAAAACTATTCACACGCCATCTATCGTCAACACAACGTATTATACAGTACCAAAAAGCTCCAAAATTGTAATTGAACCACTACAAAATGCCCAACTCCTACCAACCCCCATTGAGCAAGGATGGTGATTAATGCTCAAACCTTCTCCGTTTGAGAAGAGGCTTTGCTCAGCATTGAGCATTTATAGGCTGTTGATGTATGTATATTAATGTACTACAAAAGAATATTAATTATTATGTTTCGGCTTACTCGTTAATAATTAATTTAGTACCTATGTCTCATGGAAGTTTTAATATAAAAGAAGTCGGTTAAAAGAACATTGGCCAAAATAACTGACTTGACAAGTGCCTCAAAGAAGAATGGTTGAAATGGAGTCAGGGTTTGAATCGCTTCCTTGAACGAAAAACTTTGAAGTATGCTCTCATCCCGTTATTTGCTTTGCGAGTTAGTGATGTGCACCATTTGATTTTATTTGACAAATAAATTGTCGATATTTTTTTAGTCTCGATAAAATAATATGAGGTACTTTTATGTCTCAGTTCGAGGAAATGTTGCATTAGAAAGTTAGAATTATTTTGTATATCTTTGGCCATTGTTCAGACAGGCCGGCCATTGGCCATTGTTCTTGAGAATATTTGGAAATCTTATACTTTTTATAATAACTATAGAGACATACTAAATTAATTAAAAATCGCTCGTTACTCACATGTGTATACTGTGAAAATCTCTACTAGTTTCGAACCACAGAGGGGTTCTTCCTCAAGAGCAGCGTGCGCGGTCGCGGCGCGGCGCCAGTAGGCTGCACGAAATCGCGCGTCGTAAAACAACTACCTAAACTAGTTAGAGCTTTTCTCAGTATATTCAAGTAACCCGCGATTTTTAGTAAAATCTTATACTATTACATGAAGCTGAAGAGTTTGTTTGTTCACAAAGGTGAGGTTACTCAGAAGCTACTTATCCAATTTGAAAAAATCTGTTTATGTTGGATAGCTCATTTATCGAGGAAGGTTATAAGCTATAAGACATCATGCTACGATCAATAGAAGCCTAGCAGTGCGGATAAAACCGCGCGGAAAAAGCTAGTAGTTAAATATTTTCAAAGTTCTGAATCCCCTGAATTCCCAACGATCCTCAAACTCCTAATCCCCAAAAAGCCAGTGACGCACTTTTAACGCCTCTGGTGTTCCAGGTGTCCATGGGTGACGCCGATTGCTTACTATCAGGTGATCCGTCTGCTCGTTTACCGGCTTATGTATGCCATAAAATAAAGTCAAAATCAAAATTATTTATTTCAATTAGACCAGTAAGGCACTTTGAATTTTGTGGTGTATACAGGAATGTAATTGATACTGTTCACAAAACCTTTTTCGACAACAAATAGTAGCAATATACCATGGATTGTGTATGATTGATTCCTATTATTAGTACCTACGAATATCGAATATTCAACTGAATACGCAAGACATTACCATAATAGCTCGTACTGCATTGTATTATTAGTCAATTTGGAATCCGCGCGTCATTAATTATCGAGCATTGCATGTCTGATGCATGTAAACTATATTGGACATCCCTTCTAGGATAATCAGTACCTATACTAATATCAGTTATATGATAGGTCTAGTTTCTAGAAAGTAAGCCTAACTCCGGTACTAAATTCTATTTTAAATCGAAAAGAAATAGGTTATATTTGACCAAAGCTAAACTATTTATTAACCAAGGACGAAGGATGTTGAAAAAAAGGCGGACATAGTCTCTTGAAACAACGACTGTGGCACCTGGCTACTATAGACTTACACGCAGAATACACACACATTGACACGAAGGGCATCTGTCGCGTGACATGACCCGTCATTTATTTATTTATTATGAAAATCTTCCTACACTCTCATTACAGGATTTTCCCAATTCGACAGTGAGGCTTAATCTAGTTAAAAAAAACATATTTATATTACTAAAGAGAAGTAATACAACGAAAACAAAAAAAAAATATTAAACACAAAGACAATAAAGTAGGCCTTACAATATATACACATTACATCTTAACCTATTAAATTACCTAAAATTACATAAAAATAATGTACAATAGTAGGAACTATTCACAATCATAACTTAAAATAAATAAATAATAGTACTTTTGTGAATTCACTCGAAGGAGTTGTAAATATATCAATACGTCATTACACTTCATACATTACGGTGTTGTAAGTACATGCACACATTAATACACCACTGACATTTCAGTGCTTCAATGATTTCCAAGTGATATTTCGTCCGTCATTTTTTCAACGTTATTGTTATTAGCTTGTCGCGGAGAACCTAGCGGGTAACCGGGGCTCCGACTCGACGTGCAGGAGAAGGAACGGGGTGGTTTTTCGTTAGTAAGAGTCTGACACTCCCTCCCGCCTCACCCAGGCGGAAGCAGTCATTCGATGATTTTCCCCCCATAAAAAAAATTGTTATTAGCTTAATTCTTAATTCGCCTATAGTACCTTACACTCGGTTGTCTAAAATACAAATAACTGATACTCCCTTCCAAGTATTCTGTTTAATAGCCATTTTAAATAGATATTTATTCGAGGTAAAATTCTCAGTAAATCCTAAAGATACTGGTACAATAACAGAATATAATGTTATAGCTACTCGGTCGATTTCCAGTCGTATCATTTGTCTGTTTACTTAGAACTAATTTCAACGGATATTCAACTAGTTTGCAACGGTATTAAGTCGTCTTTTTTTTCGCGGGTAGGTGTTCTAAGAGAAAGACACAGGGAAAGCGTCTCTCCCAAAAAAAATAATTTTATTTGGTTTTTTTTGGATATATCACAATTATCACAATAAGTACTGATTTAAAGGCACTACCTGCTGGTATAGTGTGTTTACATCACTTTCCTACCGTATAATACTACCGTAACATCATCGGCATCATAAGCATGGAGGCAGTGGAGGCGGTCAATTGCACCCTGGCTGAGATGAGGGCAGAGTTCAGGGAGCGGATGTCTAAATTCGAAGCCGGGCATAGCAGCACACCGTCCAAACTTGCCTCTGGTGGCACTTCGGGTCTGGCACAGGACTACTGGACCTTTAAGCGGTTCATGTTTGATGCCCTTGAGTGTCTACAGCGGCAGATGGAGTTTTTTGCTCGGGACATGGATGCGCAGGAGATGAGAGGCCGGAGAAAGATGTTATTGATCCACGGAGTTCCTGAAATCCCAAAAGAAAACACATCACTAGTGGTCACTGGAGTCATACAGGAGAAGCTTAAAATGGACAATATCACTACCTCAGATGTGCGTAGATGTCACCGGGTTGGCAGCTTCACCAATAAAACACGTCCCAGACCAATACTGGTGAAGATGCAGGAAGTAGATACTCGAGACAAAGTGTGGTACAACAAGACCCAGCTCAAGGGTACGGGTATCACACTTTCAGAGTTCCTGACGAAGACACGACACCAGGTCTTCATGGCGGCGCGGGATAGGTTCGGTGTGTCGAACTGTTGGACTAAGCAGGGCCACATATATGTTCTGGGACCGGATGGCGTGAGGCACCGCATAGTAAGTCACAGCGAGTTGCGTGCGATCGGCGAGCCTGCAGCAGTCCCCGAGCGGTCTCCTGCGACGGTCCCCGAGCGATCTCCTGCGGCTGTGGTTCGGAGAGGGAAGCGTGGCGCCAGTAAAAAGTGACTTCAATGATCCTGCTTCGTTCGGGTAACAAATTCACCTCTTATTTCCTTTGTCTTGAGGTAGTTATCCAATACCCTCCCATTATATTTATTACTACTTAATGTATTTATTTTGTTTCTACCCATTAGAACAGATTAATTTTATTACTCCTCTACCCTTACTATTTATCTTTACTGCGTTATTATAAATGAATATTTCCAACCCTCTGCTCACTCTAAAATATTCTATGTTTATTTACTGTTTCTGACGTTTGACATTTGTCAAACGTCACGTTAATAGTTGCGTTCCGTTTGACATCGGATGCGTGAACTGTTTATGAAACCATAGACAGTTTCAATGCAGACGGTAATGACGAATACCCTATTTATTATTTGTATTATGCATTTATTTTATTTTATCAGTTTCTAATTATTGTTCTTTTAATATTTGTTTTATTTGGTACATTTATTTATTTTTATTGTTCTATTTTTTTTTTTTTTCTCTTTCACTTTCACTGTTAATTATTAGTTTAGTTAATTACTTATTTAATTATAAACACTGGGTTTTTTGCCCGAGCGAAGTAGCATTATGTCGTGGTCGTAAGGTAGTCCTACATTTTAATAATGTTATAACATGCAACCGGCAGGTGGATTTAAAACATTTTACGCAAACCGTCTTTATTTTATTTTTATTATTTTATTTATTTTTATATTTTATTTTTGTTTTTATACATATTTACATCTTATTTTAATAATATTATTGTTTTATATTTATATGATATGATGAGTAGTAACACGCAGAGTGATAATGAAAGTTTTGCTTCTGCAAATGCTGATGACGACAGCTTTACTAGTTTACCTTCTCTTGCTGATGTACTTGAGTCCCATTTCTCCGATGTACCGAAAAATCTGAATGTAGTCCATATAAATGCACAGAGTATTCCAGCTCACTACCACGATATGCTGGCAAATCTTGACTGTAAGAATATTCATGCGATCCTTGTTTCTGAATCCTGGTTAAAACCATGTCTTCCCTCCACTTCCTACTCTTTACCTGGATACCAGTTAATAAGAAATGATCGCACGGGCTGCGGCGGTGGGGGTGTTGCCATTTACCTTCGATCAAACATTTCCTTTAAAATAATTGACGTGTCACCACAGCCTCCGCCGCAGAACGCTGGCGAGCATCTTTTCTTAGAGTTGACTCTGCGCCACGCTAGAGTATTGCTTGGTGTCTACTACAGCCCTTCCCTACGTGTTGATTACTTCTCCTCCTTCGAAAATTTACTTTTGAAATTAACCCCCTCTTACAGCCACAGCATAATTATGGGTGACTTTAACACCTGTCTCCTAAAACAAGATTCCCGCTCCTCTTCACTTCAATCTATTGCTCATTCCTTCAACTTGTCTCTACTTCCTTTGAGTGCCACTCACCACTTTCCTAACTGTTCGCCTTCTCTTCTTGATCTTATCCTTGTGTCATCTGACAAACATGTTGTCAAGCACGGACAATGTTCTGCAGACAATTTTTCCTATCATGATCTTATCTTCCTCTCGTACAAAATCTGTCCTCCTAAATTTAAATCTAAAACACACTTTCAGCGCAATTTTGGTAGCATGGACCATGACAGGCTTCGTAGGGATGCCGGCAGCATCGACTGGTCTGAGCTCCTTGCCGCCGAGTCAATTGATGACAAAATAAATATTTTTAACGAAAAACTTATCGGGTTGTATGATATTCATGCCCCGATACGACCAGTCAAAATTAAACATGTACCAGCGCCGTGGTTGACAGATGAGATCAGGGCCGTAATTCGCAGGAAGGCAGTAGCTAAAGCCAAATTTAAACGCCTACCTAATCAGATTAATCGCGAAGAGTATATTGCAACCCGAAATCGGAGCAACAAGATGTGTAGGGATGCACAACGTCGCCATATTCATGAGTCTGTAGAAAATGGCGACCCGGCTAAGGTTTGGGCATTCTTGAGATCTATGGGAGTTGGAAAACAGCGTCAGGATGGTACCTCTAAAAACTTAGATTTCGAATCCCTCAACAAACACTTTTCTTCTTCACCTTATATTAATGGGTTTGTCAAGGCTAAAACCTTAAACTATCTTTCTTCTCTTTCCTCTCCCGACTATCCACCATTTTTCTTCGATCAACTCACAGATTGTGGTGTTAGGAAGAGTATAATATCCATCAGTTCCAATGCGGTGGGGAGTGACTGTGTTAGCCGTAAGATGGTGCTCCCTATCCTGGATGAGATCCTTCCTGTCATTTGCCACATCCTTAACTATTCCTTATCCCGTTGCGTTTTCCCTTCTGCATGGAAGGAAGCGCAAATTACACCACTTCCCAAAAAACCAAATCCAGAATCCTTTACAGACTATCGTCCTATTTCTATTTTACCCTTTCTTTCTAAAGTCCTGGAGCGTCTCATCTATAACCAGCTTAGTGCCTTCCTCACCAAACACAGTCTCCTTAATCCTTACCAGTCCGGGTTTCGTCCGGGACATAGCACCACTACGGCACTAGTCCATATCACTGATGACATACGATCTGGTGTTGAAAACGGCAATTTAACCCTCCTCACCTTGCTAGATTTTAGTAACGCCTTCAACACCGTTGATTTTGATATACTGCTTGGAATACTGGGCTCTCTTAACATATCTCCAACTGTGATTGATTTCTTCCGTAGTTACCTGTGTGGCCGCCGACAGCGTGTCGCCATTGAGGGTTTATACTCTTCCTGGTCTGATACGACTGCTGGCGTACCGCAGGGGGGCGTTCTGTCTCCTCTACTGTTCGCTGTTTTCATAAATTCCATCTCAAATAATCTTCTATCTTCCTACCACTTGTATGCTGACGATCTACAAATTTACTCTCAGGCACCACCTAGTGAATTCTCCGAGGCGGTCAAGATGGTAAACACCGACTTGGCACGGATCTCGGAATGGAGTACGGCTTATGGTTTAAAGGTCAACCCCGCGAAGACCCAAGTCATTGTAGTCGGTAGCCCTCGTCTGCGCTGCAAGATTGTATGGTCCCAAATCCCGCCGATTGTCTTTAACGGTGCTACAATACCATATAGTGATGCGGTAAGGGACTTGGGTATTGTCATAGACCAGGACTTCTCATGGGGACCTCAACTGGGACAAGTCAGTCGAAAAATTTTTGCGTCGACGAGGTCCTTGTTGAGACTCCGAAACTTTCTTCCAACTGCTACTAAAATTGTGCTTGCTCAATCACTTCTCCATCCCATCCTCGATTATGCTGACGTCAGCTATCCAGATCTTACCGAAGTGCAGTTAAATAAACTTGAGCGACTCCAAAATCTTAGTATAAGGTTTATATTTGGACTACGTAAATATGACCACATTTCAGAATATCGTGCTAAACTCAAGTGGCTGCCGATCCGCCTTCGCCGGAATACTCATATCTTATCTCTACTCTACAGTATACTGTTCAATCCTTCAACTCCCCATTACCTCAAAGAACGTTTCAGGTTCTTCCATGACACACATTCTAGACCAGTACGTTCATCGGAGGATTTGAAGCTTGAGATGCCCCAGCACGCGAGCAGATCCTTTGACCGATCCTTCACTGTTCGAGCTGTTCGACTGTGGAATGCATTGCCTCTTTCTGTAAGACGAGCACAGACACTCGCTACGTTTAAAGCACTCGTGAGGAAACATTACCTCACCACGGTGTAGTAAATTACTATTTGGTTTTCCCTGCCGACTCTTATCCGTCATGTGTATATATTTTATTTTTATTTATTTACATATCCTTATGTATATATGTGTGTGTATGTATATGTATGCATGTATGTATGTATGTATGTATGTATGTATGTATGTATGTATGTATGTATGTATGTATGTATGTATGTATGTATGTGTATGTATAGGTATGTGATGTAAGTACCTGAGTATGCCTAGAATCACCTCCACTATCATTCAGTGCTCCATTCACCCAAAGGTTGCCTGGTAGAGATCGCTTTTAGTGATAAGGCCGCCTTTGTGCCCTACTATTCTTGATTGTAACTCTACATATATGTTTATATTACTTTAAGGTGTACAATAAAGATTATTATTATTATTATTATTAATAGATCCAAGTTTGAAGCCTCTAAGGCTTAAATCTCCCCTAGTCACCACATCTTGGGGATAAACTACAAGATATTACTTCCAAAACTATTCGGAAACGCAATATTGACTTTATGAAGTAAATAAAATAAATATTAATATCGATCGTGTCACAGCACTAGTCTAGTTGTTGGACCGTTCATTTGGTATGCGAGATTGCAGCGTAGAAAGTCATTACTGAACAATGCTTGGACAATCCCTCAAAATACCTTTGAATTGTGATTGCTGTTCTTCCAAATACGACGGATATTGTCTCAATAGATTCCCGATTGAAGTCGGAGAATGCCGAAGATTGCCGACGTGGAGAACATTATTTGATTTTGTTTGGGGAACGCTGAAAAGGGATTGGCAGGGAATGTTATTCAGGAGAACGTTTGCGTTGCTATAAATGTTGGAGTTGGGTAGTTATAGCAAAGTTTCTTTACGTTAGTTCATAGTTCTGGGGTTTTGGTTTATTGGGTCGAGTACAAGTGGACCTTTTGATTTCGAAATTGTTCGTATCAAAGAAACTTGAATTCCACATCCACTCGTAGTCATGGAACAATTACTTGAGTTAAGATTTTCTGTGGTTTTAATATAGAAGACAGCTTTTATTCAGATAAGCAAGTCGTTAAAATTTACAATCTTAAAAGGCACTCTCAACATCATCAACCTATAAATGACTTAACTGCTGAGCAAAGCCTCTTCTCACACGGACAAGGTTTGAGCATTAATCACCACGCTTACTCAATGCAGGTTGGCGATTACAAACTTATAATTAGAAAGTCCAGGTTTACTCACGATGTTTTCCTTCACCGTTTTGTCAGTGGTGTCTAGATAATCTTAAAAGTACATATAACTCGGAAAAAGTCACATTGATACTTGCCGTTGGTAGGTTTTGAACCCGCACCCTCATGCATGAGAAGCGATCACGACATATTTATGCCACAT